AATCAAACACGTCCTATCGTGTCGATCACGACTGATCGTCAACATCTTGGCTGAGCGTCTCGAAAGAATGCATTTCGGCGTTGATTGCGATTCGCAACGAAATATTGATCGTAACGGAAACCAATAAGTAAATAAAAAAAAAATAGTGATCCCGTATGAGTTTCGTTACAACCGATGTGCGGTGCACCGTTTTTATTTTATTTTTTTTCATTGCGAGCGAGTTGTACAGTTTACGTTTGATCTTTAGACCGTAAAACAATAATGATATATAGTAAATATATATTATATAGACCTATATAAAATATTTCATATATATTGACGACGATTCGTTCGAAGTATTATTACTACTGTTCGGCATAATGCGCACGGGGGAAAACAAATAAACCTTTGAAGGGAAATAGGAAACAATTGATTGGACCCATATTTTCGACGTTACAAAGTTTATTGTTTGCCATATATCGTCGTGCAGCGTATTTGTTGCGTATGTGTATTTATTTTATTTGTTCGTTTATTTAAAGTTCCAGTCGAAGAAACATAAAACATACATATTTTTACAAATATATTATCACCAAAAGCTACTTAACACTGAGATGGAAACGTGTGTCGTAGAGTAAGAGTACTTGTTTTAAATTTAGAAACCATAGGGAAGAGAGAAAAATATAAGTATAATATTAAAACAAAAATATGTAAAACGTATTTAAAATAAGTGAATATAATAATAAGTTAATGAATGTTAACATGTGTTGTGCGTTTAGAAATAATTACAACTTTAAATTTAGAGATTGTTATAAAACCAGTTTTTTAATTAATATTATTTAAACCGTGAATAATTTGAACAAATTAGTAATTCTTGCTCGGCTCTCGGTTTAAACACGAAAAATAATTATTTTATTTTGTATAACTAGTAATTCTAATGGAATTTGTAAGTGAACTTGTAAGAAAGACATTGATGCCTTTTTGGTGCTAACAAATGGATATTTCAAGATTATTTTTGCCTTAAGTTATACTTTTAATTAAATAAATTATTTTTTGTAAATAATTCATATTGCTAGGTTTTTGTCTTAATTATTAATATCAAGTACTTTTAACATTTTAAATTATTCACAAGAAAGGAATGTTTTCTGTTAATTTCAGATGATTTTTATTACGTTTTTTTGTTTAATCGACAAGCTATATTTTAAAATGGTATTACAACAACACCTAGCTATTATATGCCGTATTATTAGATTTGATTATATAATCATAATCAACAAGTGTATTATTTATAATTTTTTTGTTTATTTCAGTTTAAAAATATAATAACTAAACAGCGTATTTTATCTTTGAATCACAAAATGACATATGATGATGAAGTACGTTAATGTTTAGAGAAAAAAAACGTTTTCAAGAAACAATTAAAAAGAAAAAGAAAAATCATGTACAGGATTTTCTATAAAGCTAAAAAAGATTTGCCCTATTTGTTGACAGTACGCATTGTTCTGAAAATACTTGCTGTCTGTTATTGATCGTGTACTAGAAGGTAAAGCTCAACGCAACTAAGTTGATCGAAATAACATGTCTTTTGTTGTTTAATGTACATACTTTGACAACGCTGCGTTGCTGCTCCGTGTTATCGAACTACTTGTCCAGGGACGGACCAAAGAGGGAAGTGTTTGTGAAGTCAGTTGACCAGCAGCTTTTTTCTCAGTATTATTTCTCTCCTATTTTGATTTTTGGCATAACTTCCATCAAGGTATAATAAACACAAATGAATAACAATTTTTATTTTCAAATAAATACACAATATTTCAACCATAATAATTTGAAAATATTTTAAACACGCCTCACTCGAAGTGGAGTCTCTTTGAAGATATATTTAAAAATACCCATTACATAATATACACTGGTCACTAATACTGCTGATATAATATTTATACATTTATTATATATATATTTATATAACCCCTAGCTGTTTATTTTTAAATGGATTCGATAGTAAATGGAGATATTTTTATCAAATATGTTTTAAATGTTTTCTAGCTATATCTTATATACTTTTTTTTATCTGCATAAAATCTGTTGCAGTTATGTCATGTATTTTCATCTTACCATGCAAGAAGAAACAAAACAATGGGATGTAAAATTATTAACTATACAAACGTTTATTTTCGTTTTAAAGTATTTGATAAGGTTAGATGAACAAGAAAATAATTGTTCAAAAACCAAATAAAATATATTTGTGGCAAGTATTTACACCGAACGAAATATTTATAATTTTAATTATTACCATGTATGCCTCACAATTTAAATTATCTCGATTGTTCAAATAAAAAAAAAAAAATCGTTTGCAAGTAGATTGTTCAAATGTTATAGAGAAGTTATTTGTATGTTATGGTGTATTGAATGATTGAAAAACAATCCAAACGCAACGAATAAAATCAAAAATTAATAACAAGATACAAATTAATCACTTTTGTTATTGTGAAAAGTGATTCGTATTGTACACGTACATCAGTGGCTCTTAATCTTTTTTTATTCATGGTACACGAGTACACTTAACAACAATAAAAACTTTGGCTACGCGCTAAGTTATCGAGTTGGGTTAAAACTATACAGTTTACCAACTGATGTATCATCTTATCTGCACAATTGATTGACATTTAACTGTCACGGTTTCATTTATCGATTGTTTCAAATGTCAGACACTGGTTGAGAACCACAGATGTACATATTGGTACACGAGGCAAACGGATTAAACCGTTACCTGCGAGAAAACCGAGCAAATGCGTAGAGTATAGATAGTCGATACTGCACAACACGGTGTCCTCTGGATTAGGCTGACCTGCAGTAATAAGATCCCGGGTACGAACGAACAAAACCCTCGGGGCTCGATCGTGGTCTTATTAGAATATTACATCGACCTATTGCCGAATCGCGTCCGTAACTAACGTAACCCGACGAGTGCCGTCGATATCCGTCCCTCGGTAAAAAGTCTTCAACGGGCGAAGGCGGTGAAAACGGGACGGGACGGATTTATTATTGTTCCGGCAAGGGACGCTGCTGCGTGTGCGTCCGGTACACCATAATATAAATATCGTAACGTGCAAGCAGCAGCCGTTAAGCGGAAAGGATTCGTCAACCACCGTTGCCTATAGCTCCGATCGTTCCGGTAGAAATACGTTGACCGGGGTTCGTTTATTTTTATTTTTCCCATCAACTCCGCACGGTGTGTCGCCCCGCAAACGAATTTTAACCCGTCAGCTGCCAGGACTCGGCTGGTTTTTCGAAAACTTTAGCGGCGAAGACACCACTTATATGTGTACATGTGTGTTTAGACACAGTACTCTATAACTTCTTTAATGTATATATATATATATATATATAGGTATTATGTGCGTGCGAGTCCGGCGCGAGTGAGAAAAGTGCGATAACGTGTGCGCTGGGAAAAACATTGATGGGCAATCATCGGCCGAGTAATCCCACCTGTATCGGCACCGCGCACGAGTGTCTATACAATACGCACATGTGGACGATTCCATTCGTCCGGTTATTAGTCCCGCGTCGCACATTAGAAGCCCACTCCCTCCCCTTCTATCTCTCTCCCCTGTACGCGGTCGAGGATAAGGACCGCCGCGCGCGATAATCGGTTGTACGCGCGTAATGTCCGCGGCTGCTGTTCTCGATAGTTTTTCCCTCATCGCAACACGGTCGTTTGTACAGCGTTTGTCGATTACCGACTTTTCCCTCCGCCCGTTTTCCTATACGGTGCGTGTGAACACGTCGACGCGTTTTACTGTTATACGGAAAATCGTTCCCTTCGCACGATAGGGTCGGCCGTGCCTGGTCACTTTAGGTCTGCAGCCCTGATACTATATATATACGTACGCATTGATATTACGACGGTTAATCGGCAAAAATCGAAATGATTACGTGTCAGTTGTTCTAGCCACCACGCCGTCGTCCGTCTTCCACTCTCCGTCCGATCGATCTTACCCCGTCCGCCTTGACCCGGGTACGAGCCGTCCCGCCACAGATATTCTCCGCCGAACTGCACTTGGAGGCTGTACGGAGAATACGATCGTGAAGCGCGCAGTAGTTGTATACGTCGGTTAAATGTACGTGTAGACGCCAAAAAATATGATTACGATAAAAGTAACGATTGTTGCAACGCATGTGCTTCCGTAGCGGAAGAAGCCACCGCGGAAGACCATTTATTTTTCGATCCTATTTTTTTTTTATAAATATGTTTGACCAGATGGTTAGTTTTCTTACGTTTTTTACACTCTAAAACGTTTACAAAAACTGTTTTTTATCGCGAAATTATTGTACAAAAATATTGGTTTATATTATGCGCGCACACATATATATTGTTTGTAAAATTTCCGTGCGATCGCTACTACTCGTGTTCCACGTAACCACCGACCACAGACTTTGGTCCCAATAATACAAACTGCTGTGCTCCACGTACAGAGTACGCGTAACACGGGCCCTAGGTCTGTGCCCGGTGAATACGATCTAACTCGCCAGTAGCGCTCAAACCAAGAAATGTTGAAAAATTTAAATGTACGAAGACTACTAACGCCGGTTACGATCAGCTACTCGCAGAAAACGATGTACTTATCAATGATTCGCTTTTTAATTTGTTTCTTCGTACCAACACTTCTTCGTTTGACGAAAGAAAATTGAACGCATAGCGATTTAACTAATAATAATAATACTTGAATTCGATTAAGATACGTGCGGAGTCCTTGGATGTCTCTCGTTAGAGTTTCGTAGGGCTCCGCGGGTCAAGGTCACGGACGGTAACCGATGAGATCCTCCGAACGTCCTTGCGACGTGGGATACGGTCCGCGACGGATCACGCACCACATACGCTTCGTACGACGAATGTTAATGTAATCATGATAGTAATGCACAGGATTAATACACATTAGCTGCACTCATGAGATTTTTTTCGTTATTTTTTATTTCTTTATTATCATTATCCGAACGTCGGCTGAAAACTTTTCTCCGGTGAGGTCTTAAACACGATTCGCCGGGAGCCCGTGCTTCGTTCGAATGTGTTTGTCCAGGTAGGCAGGCATCATGTACGTTTTGCCGCAAATCGCGCACATGCACCGTTTCTGCCCTCTGTGCGAGCACATATGTTCAGACAGGTTCTTGTGGTGGGCGAACGCCCTGTGGCACACGACGCACACGTAGGGCGCCGCGCCTGCGTGCGCCTTTTTATGGTCCTCTCTTGTAATGCCCGGCTTAAATATGACGCCGCACGTGGGACATGCGGAGTACTCGAACCACGGTCGTCCGTGCACTACGCGCACATGTTGGTCCAGTCTCTTTTCCTGCATAAACGCAGCCGGGCACCACGGGCATATCTTCGACTTGTTCGTGTGATTAACCCGCATGTGGTCCACTAGTTTCGGGTTACTTACGAACCTGTTCAGACACACCCAACACCGGAACGGCTTCGGCACCGGCTCGTCTTCACTTCCTCCTCCTCTCTGCTCCGGCTCCCGGTCTTGCCTGGCCGACGGCACTCGGTTAGGTTCCATTGATAGCTTTCAGAACGGTTCCAAGAGAAGTTTCTAAAAGTTCGCACGACGCTCACCGGCTCGGTTGGTTCCAACTGGTTCGCGACAAAGGTCGACTGTAAATAAGTAACTAATTAAAACAAGTAACTAACTTAGTCGGCTATATGGTAACGGTTCACTGAGGAGCTCTGGACTCTGTGGTGATGATCCGGTACTACTATTTCAAACGCTGGCGTTCGTCTAATAGTCTTGTTTGTTTATCTCGTCCGCGTTTACAGCAAGTTTGCTTATTCGCCCATCCCCAGGGATACGGTTTTATACTGTACAAGCCAAATAATTTTTAAGTACGCGACAAACAACGGAATCGATCCGACTCATTACGCGTCGGAACCAATATTTAAATACCTCATCGTTTCCCGTCCGCGTAATACGTGTAATACGTGTCGATTACGAACAAAACCGATATACGGCCACTCGCGTTCTTTGCTACTACAATTTCGCGTTACGATAATCATATTTTATTGCACGCAATTCTCGGGCCACAGGTGGAGAAACCGTTGAGGCACAGTGGTCCACAAATTAAAATTAGGCGGTCTTTATTGCCCGACTTCAAAATGAAAAAATTTTAATTTTTTTCTTTTAATATTATGTCTATAACCTATTGAGTTCAGATAAGTAACTGGAAATTTATAAATATTTTTATAACTCAAGTTATAGCTATTTTAATGAGACATTTTTCAATATATCTGATATTTTATTTTGATTTTGGGCATAAATTGTTTATTTTTTTTTTGCCACATTAAAACTAAAAAAAAAAAAAAATATTATTCAAATAGTGTTGTCCGTGTTCTATAAATAGAAATAATAATACGAAATATTTTTTTTTTTTTTTCAATGCATTCGTAATGAAATTGATTCGGAATTCCGTGTTTTTTTTTTCTTTTTTTTTCTCAAAGACTGAGGATAAAATTTACTCAATTTTACATTATATTCAATTCATCCATATTAAATGATGTACATTTTGTTTGCGGCTGTTTGCAGTAATAACGTATACAAATTATTATCACTTCAAAAATACCAGATGTCTGTAAAAATTAGGTTGAAAAAAAATTTAAACAATTTATGCCCTAAATTAAAATAAAATATCAGATATATTGAAAAATGTCTCATTAAAATAGCTATAACTTGAGTTATAAAAATATTTATAAATTTCCAGTTACATATCTGAACTCGACAGGATGTAGAGTCTACATTGTATACATAATATTTGAAAAAAAAATTCAATTTTTCTCATTTTGAAATCGGGCGAAAAAATCCGCCTAATTTTAATTTGTGTGCCACTTTGTGACGTACTCGGATTTTATTTAAATGAAACAGTTGGCCATGCCCTTGCTATAGGACACTGTATACGCCACTGGTTTTACGTTGGCTTAGCGCGCGCGCACACAGATTACGACAACTACCGTTAAAAAGCATCACGCTGTTTCGAAAAATCTACGACGAGCGCTTTTTATTAATATTTTTTCCGATTCCTTTCAACCCCTCTCTCTAACCCGGACATGATGTGTACTATTAAAACGGCCACAGCGTCCACGAATAAGCTCAGTGGCACATACATAACTTTTGGGGAGGATCACTTGCGAACAAATCATTATTTTTATTTCACACTAAGAACATTATTTTATAAAATTTAAAAAAATCCACATCCCTCCCCTATATACACTACTGCGTGCACTCTCGGTGGACTCGGGGGCCGTTGAAATCATACATATTTGTAATGACGCACGCATATCAATACACCCATACACAGTGTGTATTACACACACATAGACACATCCTCCGTGCAATGAGCGCATCTAGAACTCAAATATTGGGGGTGCTGAAATTGCTGAAAATTAAATTAAATGGTATTTAACCGTAATTACTATAGATTATATAGATCTGAAAAAAAATAGAAGTGCTATATTTGAACTCAGGGGTGGTAAAAACCCTATTGCGCCCTTTAAGTTGTGCCTATGGTCCGTACGGACATACCTTTCGGCATTTCAATGGCCGTCTCGACGTGCCCAACTTTCAGCGTTCTCTTATGCGTACGCGGTGTCATGTACACGTATAAGTAACACCGAGGACTTGATCTCCTTCCACCCTCCTTATTCTTCCCACGCGTGCCAACGCGTATTGCTACGACCCGATGTTTCACTATTCCAACGGCTTGAACGCGGCACGAGGGAATAATCGAGAAAATAACAATGATGCGCGGTCGGGAATCGATTTGTTCGGTTATTTCGGTTCTGATTAAAAGCAAAACACACGTGTACGCCTCGAAGAGGAGGACAATTTCGATTTTCTATAATGGTTCCAGTATGGTTGAATTAATATTTCATGGTAAATGTGTTATGAGCTAATAATGTTCCAGCGGTGAACTATTGATACATTAACAGCCCGGTCGTCAAGACTTAACCACTGAAGATGTGGTTCCCTTTGTGTCGTGAAACGGTCGCAGGCGGCCTTCGAGAGGAAACTCACTCGCCTTCACGGCGAGGACGACATCGTAATGTACGATTTTCACCGTGTCCGTACTGTATATAATATATATGTGCGTGTGTCATAAGGACGTGTTATTAACCTCCGAAGAAGTGCGCCCGCCTGTAGCCGTTTCGAATTCTCTATTTAATATTGCTCATCGCACACGCATCGGACTGAAAGCCTCTCTGCTCCTACGGCCGTTAGGAGCCGTTTCCAGCCCGAAAGACACCGGTTTTGCGAGTTCATATCGGTACGAACCGAAAATTAATTTTTCCCGACCTAGCTGAGGGAGGGTCCGTCGAAAACACCGTTACGAGCGACTGACCTAAATACATACGCCGCGTTCGCGTCACGTTCGAGAATGTACAGTGTACGCTTCCCCTCGGTCACGGTTCAGCTTTTTTCTTTCTTTCCGTATTTTTATTTTTTTATTTTTTAAATATTTATCGCGATGCGAATGACCCCGCGCGCATACCCTCGGCTATATATATATATAATATAGATGTGTACACTACGGTATAACGAAATGAAATCAACTATCGGAGCCATAATTCCACTCGCAGGTAACGTTGTGAAATTACGTTTTCCATCAAACAAAATTACCGCTCCGCAGCCGGTGGGTACGCCGAACAAACATATAAACACACGCACAGGCGCATCGGTTAGTAGTCGGGCACGTGTGTACGTGGTGCGCGGTCCGGGCCGGACGTGTATACGTACCGTGTAACGGTCACGCGTGTATAGCGACGGAAAGCTTTTTGTGAAATATTTACGACGCAAGTACCTACGGGGATTATTTTTTCTCCTTATTTTCTCTCCTTTCCCTCGTCGCTCTTCGCCGCACCATCGCCACCCGCTGACGTCCCCGTCCCTCCGTCCACGCGTACACGTTCCTTTCGGTCCTCGAACACCGCCGGTCCGTAATGTTCAACTCAACCGCGCCGCGTATCGCTTACTTAAATATAATATAGCCGTTGGCCCGTGCCCGTAACACACACAAACCTACCGACCCGTTGCGCACAAACGGAATGGTTAAAAAGCCGTTGGACCGTGTGCGCGTACGAAGTCGCCGCGAACGGAATTGAAATCCTCTGATCGCACTCCAACATACACGCGCGTGCGGTCGAACCAGTGGTTTGACGAATTTACGAGGGGGGGGGGGATCAAGAGGATCAATCCCCCCACCATAGGCTGTATGCGTGCAAATAATTATAGCTACAACGTTGTTTTAAATATTAAATATTTTTATTTTATCGATAACTGATTACGTTTGTAAGAATTAAAATATCATGATATATTGTGTAATATTCTCATCGGTATCGCTGGTCACTGGGCTGTAATCTGTGATCACACCAGGTCCATGCGGTCCGTATTATCATTGAAGAAGGACGTATTACCGTCGTGATATCGGTTCCTATATTATCTATGGGTACGACGGATATAGATACTATAGTACCTAATCACCACGGTTTAAAATTTACATTACTATTTACGTACATTTTAAACCGAAAATATCTGTATATCATATTCAGTTTTATAACTGCTCAGACATACTCAAATATAGATTGTATATTTAATATTAATACTCTATTATAATTCCCGGGAAATTAGTGGCTGAGGGAGCGTAGACCCCTTTAGGTCTGTAATTACTGTATGAAGTATATCCCTCCATCCATGACAAAAACCTAAATACGCTACTGGCGCAAACCCCCGTACGCGTTGTACAACATCGCGTACGCCCGTACGGTCGTCTCGCGGTTAAAAGTATTTTACGACAAAACATCTCCGGGGTGAATCACGACACTCGAGCTCTCAGGAAGTCGAAACGGGTTAATGTTTCCCGGGTTCCGGTTAACGGGTTCAACACCGGCCTTAGGGTATTTTCGGTTTACGTTGACGGGTGTAACAAAGGTTCGCTACTTAAACGTACACGGAAATAATTCGACATCGAAGTTAACGTCAATTTAAGTTAAGCGAGTATAAAAGTAGAAAGTCACTTATCGGTAGTATTTATCACTCGTTGTCAGATATTGAATGGTAGAGAGGGCACGGATTAATGATAGATCATGAAAATCACTAATGAGAACCGTTATGATTATCAACGATGAATACAAAATTATATCACACATTATCCGTTTTTTCGAACCATCAACCGTAATAATGGATAAAAGTTAACGATTATACATATTTTATTTTCAAATTTCCTGTTCTCGAAAATATAGTTTGAAGATAAACTATAAATATGAACCGAGCTGAGTATTAGAAAATATTTTCCTTGCTTGATTTTTTATTACAGATAATTATACAATTTTACATGGTCAATAGTTTTAAAATTAATTTTAATGAATGTTCGAATGCCGGTTATAAGTTAAAACTATGCTCAAGACTGAACATACCGCTCTCGAATTGTTAAATTCCGTGGGGTCGCGCCACGTATATTAAACATCAATTAATATTCTAAAAATATAACCAGTTATTGCGGTGGGACTATCAAC